GCAGTTGTTGAGGGCCTTCGCCGCGCACCGCTTGTGCGCCTTCAGCTTGCACACCTCGCAGCTCAGCCCGTGCGACGTGACGCCTACGCCCGCAGCGAGGGACGCGGCGAGGGCGTGCGGGTGGGCGGGCGGGCGGAGGGTGGAGGTGGAGGTGAGGCGGTGGCAGAAGAGGCGGTTGGTGGTGGCGGTGATGAGGGCGGGCGGCGCGCGGGACATGCAAGGAACACGTTAGAGAGCTTCCGTTAGTTATTAGTGGCTGGGCAGCGTGAATGGGGAGGGGGGGGAGGTGAGAGAGGGGAAGGGAAGATGGGTGAGGAGGTAGAAGGGGGGAAGACGGGGGTGAGGGAGGAAGAGGAGGAGAGGAGGCGAGAGACGGAGCAAGGCAAATGAAGATGGGGAGGAGGGGGGAAGAGGAGAAGAGGAGGTGGAAGAGGGGGGAAGGAAATGAAGATGAGGATGGGGGAGAAAGAGGGAAGAAGATATGGATGGGGGAAGGGAAAGGCAGAGGAGGAGGGGGGAGAAGGATAGAAGATGAGGATTGGGGAAGGGAAACGAAGATGGGGGTGGAGGAGGAGGATGGAAGAGGATATGGATGAGGGAGGAGAATGGAAGAGGGGGAGGGGGAGAGGGTCGGAGGAAGATGTGGGAAAGAGAAAGAGGAATAAGCAAGGAGGAAGAAGGGGGAGGGAAGAGGGGGGGAAGGGGTAAGTGGGGAAAGGGGCCGAGGGAATGAAGAACATCGGAGAGGGAGGGAAAGGGGGAGGGACGAAGAAGGGAAATGGGCAATGGGAAACTCGGACATGGAGGGGGCGATACGGGAAGTGAATGTGTAAGGTAAGAGCATCAGACGCGACTCTCCCTCCCAACAAGACACACATGAAACGGATACAAAGGGACACAGGAAGGAAGAAAAAAGAGACAAAAAACAAAAAGAATGTCAACGGCATATAAACAACAGACAGCACTACATCAAAGTTCCCCGCTTGTACTGATCGGTTGGCCGGCTGCCGGACACACCAAGCCATCGCCTCGTGACGACGCCAATAAAATACTGGACACAACACAAAGCGCATGGGACAGAGGCCGACGGGAAACACACGCGGCAATATCATGGTAATCAGAGTGGAGGGGGGGGGGGGAAGGAGGCGGAGGGAGAGGGGAAGGGAGGAGGAAGAGCTGAAAGGGAAGAGAGAAAGGGAGGCGGAGGGAGAGGGGGAGGGAAGAAGAAGAGCTGAAAGGGAAGAGAGAAAGGGAGGCGGAGGGAGAGGGGGAGGGAGGAAGAAGAGCTGAAAGGGAAGAGAGAAAGGGAGGCGGAGGGAGAAAGAGGGGAAGAGAAAGAGGGAAGGTTGGGGAGAGTAGAAGCTCAGAGGGAGGCGGAGGGAGAAGGAAGAGGAGAGGAAAGTTCGGGAGAAAGAGAAGGCGATGATAGGGGAGGAGAGAAAGGTAAAGTGAGAAAGGGAAAATTGGAGGAAGAGGAAGGAGAAAAGGACGGAAATGATGAAGAAAGACGAAGGTAACCAAAGCCAAGAGGAGAAAAGGAAGGAAAAAGAAGAGGAAAGAAGAGGAAGAAAGAGAAAATTAAAACGAAGAAGAGGAGGAGGAAGGAGAAAGGAAAACGAAGGAGGAGGAGCAGAAGAAAGGCAAAGAAGAAAATCTAAGCAAATGGAAGGCAGCGGAGAAAGAGGGCCAGGGGAGAGAAGGGCACCAAGAGGCGGCAACACAAGGCCCGGGCGTACCTGAGAGCGCCTCCCGGCACACATTGCAGTAGGTGGGGCGGGCGTGCGAGGTGGCGTACCAGTTGTGCTGGCCCGAGAGCAGCGAGTGCACCTGCTCCGTGCCCTGCGAGCGAGAAAGGGGAGTGTCAGGCGGCCGATGATTAATAATCATTAATGATAATTCATAATTAATAATCAATAATAATATAATAATAATAATGATAATAATGATAATAATAATAATAATAATGAAACAAATTTCAAATAAGATATTCATCTAACCTTAAGCGATTGCAAATCCATTTCAGAAATCCAATTCCTAGATCAGGCTCTTTGATGAAACTGATTTGGACTTACATTCCTGTTAGTCGTATAAGATAATACATAATAAAATAAAAGAGAGATTAACCAGCAGTGACAACTTCATCGCCAACAATGCACCCATTCACAAGGTTAAAAAAATAACTTGACAGGGTTGACGAAGATGATCAACGTTTATCATGCACATGGCTGTTAAGAAAAGCGCGATTTTAAAACTGGCTGCTGCCCACTCGTGCAGCGGACAGCTCTGTAAATCACAGTAAATTCCCAAACGAAAAGATGCACAGCGCGAGTCCGCGACTGAGAAGAGCTCACAAAAGCCAATTCCAGGAGAGGCGCAGAAAAGTGCATTTGCATTAGGCAGTTCCAAAATCTTATATTCCGGGAATCTATCATCTGTGTGGTGGCGGAGCAGCTGTGGCGGAGCGCTCGCTCTGCAACGGCAAGGTCACGCGCTCATGCCAGCCCTCGCGGCCCTCGCCGCTGGCCACGGATAGGGCCAGCCACGTTAACTATTGTAATAATAAAAATAATAATTATTACTATTATCACTATCATTTTAATGATGATGATCATAATGATGATGATCATAATGATGATAATGATAATGATAATGATGATGATAATGATGATTATAATGATGATAATAATGATGATAATGATGATAACGATAATGATGATAATAATGATAATGATAATGATGATAATGATGATGATGATCATAATGATGATAATAATGATAATGATAATGATAATGATGGTGATGGTGATGATGATGATAATGATGATATTAACACCAATAATAATGACAATACCGCTACTACTAATGATGCTGCTGATAATAACGACTATGGTGATGGTAGTAACAACAACAATAATAATAACAATAACAGTAATGGTAATAGTAATGGTAATGATAGCGATAATAATAATAATAATGACAATAACACCATTAACAATAAAATACAAATAACTATATAACCTAAAAAAAAAAATACTAATAACCTCCATTACATGAGCCCCATATCCCTTCCCGGCCCATGCCCCCCTCCCTCCTTCCTCCCCTTCCCTGACCCGCCCCTCCCCTCCCTCCCTCCCCCCTTCCTCCCCCTCCCCTGCCCTGCTCCGCCCTTCCCCTCCCTCCCCCCTCCTCCCCTCCTCTACCCCTCCCTCCCTCCCCTCCTTCCTCCCCCTCCCCTGCCTTGCCCTGCCCCGCCCTTCCCCTCCCTCCCGCCCCCCCTCACCCCCTCCCCTCCTCTGCAGCGCGACCGCATCCGCCGCAGGGACAAAGCTCCTCCGCTCACCTTTAAAATAATCGAAGCCGAGGCCATCGCCAGCGTCAACCCATTTACCGCGATCCCACGCTAGCGCCTTCCGCTACGTCGCTACGTCTCCGCGCCGCTACGTCACCGAGACACAGGCGCTACGTCACCCGGCCACACGTCTATTACGTCATCGAGACACAGGCGCTACGTCACCCGGCCACACGTCTATTACGTCATCGAGACAGGCGCTACGTCACCCAGCCACACGTCTATTATGTCACCGAGAAACACGCGCTACGTCACCCGGCCACACGCTTCTTACGTCACCGAGACACAGGCGCTACGTCACCCGGCCACACGTCTATTACGTCACCGAGACACAGGCGCTACGTCACCTGGCCACACGTCTATTACGTCACCGAGACACAGGCGCTACGTCACCCGAGCCGCTAAACATCAATAATTATGTCACTCCTTCGCTAAGCAAACCGCTGTCACCTTTGGGTCACGGAGTCACTACAAGGCATTTGAGCCAATTATATAAAGCGCGGTAAAAAGGAGAAGGAAGAGGGGGGGATGAGGGGATGAGGAGGAGGTGGAGGAGGTAGAGGGGGAGGAGGGGAGAATGAGGAGGAGGAGGAGGAGGAGGAGGAGGAGGAGGAGGGGAGAATGAGGGGGGAGGAGGAGGAGGAGGAGGAGGAGGAGGAGGAGGAGGAGGAGGAGTAGAAGGAGGAGGAGGAGGGGAGAATGAGGGGGGGGAGGAGGAGGATGGGAGAATGAGGGGGGGAGGAGGAGGAGGAGGAGGAGGAGAAGGAGGAGGTAGAGGAGGAGGAGGGGAGAATGAGGGGGGGGGAGGGGAGAATGAGGGGGAGGAGGAGGAGGGGAGAATGAGGGGGGGAGAGGAGGAGGAGGAGGAGGATGGGAGAATGAGGGGGAGAGGAGGAGGGGAGAATGAGGGAGGAGGAGGAGGAGGAGGAGGTGGGGAGAATGAGGGGGGGAGGAGGAGGAGGAGGAGGAGGAGGAAGAAGATGGGGAGGAGGAGGAGGAGGAGGAAGATGGGGAGGAGGAGGAGGAAGATGGGGAGGAGGAGGTGGAGGAGGAGGAAAAGAGGAAGGGAGAAGGAGGAGGAGGATCAGGAGGAGGATCAGGATCAGGAGGAGGAGGAGGAGGAGGAGGAGGAGGAGGAGGAGGAGGAGAAGGAGGAGAAGAAGGAGGAGGTGGAAGAAAAGAAATGACAGAAGCAACAGTAGAAGAAAAAAAAGGGAAAAAAGAAAAAGAAAGCCAGAAAGAAGACCCGAACCGGACCATTTCCCCCATCAGAAAACTTTTTCCTGCCCCTCCCCTCCCCCCATCCCCCCCACTACAAAACAAACCGGAAAGACGAACCCAGAGCCCCGCCCATCGCCAGCCCAATGCAAATCAACAAATCAACAGGTCTCCCCCCCCCCGTTCCTGCCTCCCCCCGGGCGGAAGACGCGCTGGGAGAACCGCCCCCTCCCTCTCGCCAGCTGTTAACTAACACCCTAATCTAATCTTTGTTTATTATGCCTTTCGTTTCTTTTATCAGTATGTTTTAGTATCCACTTATCTGTTTAGTATTGGCAAGAGTGTATGTTAGGCACTTGTTTATATTAATCATGCTTAAAGAGACATTAATCACCTGATTTAGCTGACGGGACCGGGAAGGAGAGAGAGAGAG